GCTTTTTATGTTCTTTTTTTTAAATAGTTTATTGGATACAAATGAAAAATCAACACTAGATGATGATGATAATTCACCAACAATTGCAACAACACTTGCTACATTACCGATTAATAATAGTGAGATCATTATAATCCAAATCCTTTTTATTCTTTTCATCTTTTTTTTTTATTATATAGACGAAGCAACAACAACGGTTGATGGTATTAACTTAGAAGAAATCAAACAATTTGCAAAAGCATTCAAATTACGTCGATTAGCATTAGGCTTAACTCAAACTCAAGTTGGTCAAGCATTAAGTGTTACACGTGGACCAGCTTATAGTCAATCAGCAATATGTCGTTTTGAAAAACTTGATATAACACCAAAAAGTGCTTCAAAAATAAAACCTGTACTTGAAAAATGGATGCGAGAAGCTGAATTAAAATATGGTGATAGGTACGAAATAAACTTGAAATTTTAATTTCAAATAATATTTTTTTTTTTTCTTTATTATAGACTAAAAAATGGTCCAACAAATTTACAAGATCTTGTTACTGATCTTAATGCAAAAAAACGTAAAAGACGAACATCATTTACACCACAAGCACTTGAAAAATTAAATGATGCATTTGAATTAAATACACATCCATCTGGTACAGATATGTCAACACTTGCTCAAGAATTAAATTATGATAGAGAAGTAATTCGTGTTTGGTATGAATTAATGTTTTATTTAGAAAAAAAATTATGAATCTTTTCTTTTTTTTTATTAAATTATCCATAGGTTTTGTAATAAACGTCAGGCATTGAAAAATTCAGCAAAAAAGTTTAAATCTAATCAGATAAATGAAGATAATGAATCAACGTCTAGTTCATTAACGGATAATAAATTCAGTGATACAATAAATTATTCAAAACTTCAACAAGATGAAATTTCATCATAAGATTTATTATTTTTTTGAAGCAATCAAATAATACGTTCTTCCATATTTAATATAAAAATTTATATTTATCATCGACCTAACGGATAAATCAACGAGCGGTTTTTTTTTTCTTATAGAATGCACAATATATTTAACTATTGTCTTTCTTTATGTGTATTTCCTTTTTTTTCTCAAATTTTAATTATATAATATTAAAAAGAAAAAAAACTTTACTTTAATTATTTGAGATATGAATATTATTCAAAATGAATTAAAACTAACACAATGATGTCAATATGTATTTAATTTATTTATTTCTGATTCATTATACTATCAGTAATGATAAGGCAACATTACTCAGGTAGCTACTATCTTACAATGGCGTTAAAATATAGTCGTAAGTATTTACATTTAAAATAGTAATAATATTGTTGAAGAATTACTTATCATCATGTTTCATGAAAACTGAGTATCATTATTTATCAAATAGAATATTAAACGCATGTATAGATTATCATTTCTAATTGAATAGTTGGTTTTGTTTGACTTCATAGTCTAAGATAAGTTGAATAAATATATTTCATATTTGAATAATTGTCGTATATTAAAAAAGAAAGAAATTATTGAAAACCATCTATTTTAAGTACTAAATAAAGACTGTCAAGATCTCGACGATGATTTATTATTAAACAAGGCTTATACTATATTTAATTTAAGAGTGCCTACTCAAAAAACCTATACTGTGTCGGATACATGTAAACCGTCTGAATATTTCAATACTATACCATGAATTTTGAGAAAAATATTCATCAAATAAGAGTCAAAACTACCTTATTTGGCAACTCAACAACATTCACTGTTGACCCCCAATTCTATATATTTAATTATGTTTTTTTTTGCTTGAAAGAACTTATTTTAAAATTATTACTCTTGATGTGGAAAAAAACGAGTGCCACTTTGAAAGCCTCAGAAAAAAAAAGCTTTCTAAAAATGGCAGTTTATTTATATTAGTGTTCGCATATATAATAAAAACAGAGCTAAATTTAAAAAACAGGCTCGTGATATCCTACATCTTGACATACCCATTCAAGCAGAAATAAAACTAAATGTACATAATCAGGTTGCACCAAGAATTCCGGGATATCTGATCAAACCAGCATTAAAAAATTTAAAAAAGACCGAAAAACATTTTTTGAAAAGAAATTTCACAATATTTTAGCATTCTTAGGTACTTTCTTCTGGTACATTTACCCATGTAAAAAAAGACGGCTCATAATTATACAAAAATCGATTGTTTTTGGATTAATAATCCATTATAATGGCACTATTATAATCTGATTTTAATCAGATTTTTCAGCTTAAAAAAAAATTCTTTTGATTTTAATCTTTTTTAATCTATTTTAATTGATTAAAGTTTGTTAATCGATTAAAATAGATTTAAAAAGATTAAAATCAAAAGAAATTTGTTTCTAAAGCTGGAAAATCTAATTAAAATCAAATTATAATAGTTCCATTATAATAGATTATTAATCTAATTTTTAGCCGTTATTTTTTTTACATGGCTAAAAAGTATAATCATCAACTATCATTTCTATTTTTAAATCGTATGTAAATAAAGTTCTGTAATGACTAGTCGAACTTCACTATATAAAGTAGTTTTATTTTCCATGATAAGAACATAGAAGACTTGCTTAAAAATGTTCTACTAAAATCAACTGTCAGTTGCCTCAGTCCTGAACATGAACGGGATCAATTGTATTTGGACTCGATTTCAGTCAAAAAAACATTTGTTGTCGATTGCAATCTAAAAAAAGTTAGTCTCTGTTTAGTCGAGACTGGAACCATCTTGTCCGTATTCATTTAAAACACAAGAGTCGTGACAATAGAATAGTACACACAAATTTTATATGATTATGAAAGGTATCGCTCCCAATGAAAAAGTATATAAGTCCTACGTCCACTCTTGGGACCATCTTGCCTATATCTACTCTGCGTTCTTTTTCATTAAAAATTATATTCATTACAAGCATTTCGTGCAGTTATGAAAAGTAAAACAATAATTATAATTTATAAATAGTCATGGGAGAGAAAAAGAGAACGGACAAAAATAGCGTAACAGATGGTGAATTGTGATGGTATGTGTCGATCACACTACATCATGTCGTTCTTTATGTTTTTTTTTCTTTTTTTTTTTGTTCTCCTTCCTTTTTTCTCATGCTCATTGGAACGTGTCTTTTGGATTGTGGACATTTTTCCTTGATTGGAAAACAAAAAGAAAGTCTGCAAAGTAGAATCGGAGATGAGGAGACAAAAGTGATTGAACACTGGAAAATGTCCACAATGTGGAACAGAGCGGAAGAAAGAAAAAATGGCCGCATTATGGAAATGGTGTGGCTCTTCTCTTCAGCTACATTCGTTAACACTCCGAACCTAAAAAATGTTAAATACTCTTAGCTATATGTCTCGTTAATTATTTTTTTTTGTATGTTCTTTTCAGATAATATATCTTGTCTCGATCCTACTATGTAGCTATTTTTCCTTAACTAGTCAAAAAACCTTTTTTGCAATCGGAATACGTAATCTGTTACATGGATTTTCTTTTCTTTCAAGAATCGTGGTAGAATTTATCAAAATGGTTATTTCCAATGCGAATAACTGAAAATCAGTTTTTTTTAAAGTAAAAACGATGAGAATTATCAAAAATTTGCCTAAAAAAACGAAATACCAATTTTAAAATAATATTCTTTCTGAAAGAGAAGAACTTTGATTATCTTCCCATACATTTATCTTAGTTTTCATATCTTTTTGACGAAAATTGACTTTTACACGGGAGGTCGGTTTTAAAGATATGACATTCTATTTAACAAAATTATTTTTAACAATTCATTTTCTGTGTTATTCAGTCTTCAGTTTTTTCTTTCATTTCTTCATCAAACTATGCCATATCGATAATTATAAAATGACAAGTTTCGTTAACACATCCACCATTCACTTTTTTTTTTTCTTTTAGTATAATCAATCACGTTTCTTTTCCGTGGCAGATGTAGTCAAGATGTATGCATCTTTCGTCCGATTTAACATTTATTCAATCGATCTATTCAAGTTCAATCTCTATGAAGACCTCTTAGTTGTAGAATTCAATAATTTCAAATAGAATGTATATTTGTTTATTTCAAATACATAAACAATCTCTACGATACATTATTTTTTTCTTGTGCTAAAGAAATGAATTGATTATTATGTTTAAAAACGAACAAGTGTAGGTCTCCAAGTATCAATCTCCATTTTCACTCGACTTTATACTAGTTGGTAAAATTTGATGAGCTGATCATGATAACGTAAAGTGTTTCTCACCATAGACTACCTTTGAGTAGTTAAGATCGACCTTAACTTTAGAAAAATAACTATAAACTGTTGTTTCAGAAATTTTAATCAACATAAATAGACGTCCTAACAAGTCTATACTTGAATAATTGAACACCGTTTATTCGAAGAATGTGCACAATTTAAATTTTTTTTTCATAAAAAGCTAATCAAGATTTTTTGGGAATACTACCATTTAAAAGACATACTAATTAAAGACTTATCAGATATCTCATTTTTCAATAGTCTACATTCTATTTAATTGTTTTCTCAGACGTTCATGTGAAAAACTGCAATAGATAAGGCAGATAATTGAAACATGATCAACATAATATTGAACGTATAGATGCAATTAGGATTTTCTATTCATGTTGATTGTATGGATGTCTACAGTCAATTCAGATGCAATCTGTGCTAAAGTTTTTAATGCTGAGAACTAAACTAATATAACAATTAAAATTTCCGAAACAACAGCTTGCAGTCATTTTTTTTTCGTTGAGATTAACCTAACTCCTCAATGACAGCCTATGAGAAGAAACAGCTTATGTTGTCATGATCAGCTCATTAAACTCTACAAACTGGTATAAATTCAATTGGAAACGGAGATTCACACTTGGACATTTTCACTCTTAACTAAATTTGTATTTCAGAATATTTTAATAATTTCATAATTATACATGAATTGTTTATATTCGAATAAATCGGATCATTAATTTTCATATCCAATGATATTCAATAAGAAAATTCTAAAGGAGCTGATGGCATATTAGGATAAGAAACTGATGGTTTTTCCAATAGTTCTTGATTAAGTACAATATTTTGTTTAACACCATAACGAAATAAACATTTACCATAGATTATAAAACATATTGAAGGAGAATTTCCTTGTATTAATTTAAACATATTTAATCGAGAATTATTTTTCATTGCGTGACATATAATTTGAACAATATCACCATGAATAATTTTCAAATAAGTATTTGGTGATTGACGAGCTGAAATAGTTGCTGTAATACGACCAGAAAATTGTATAGATAAAGAAAAATGACTATGAAATTCTTCCTCGTCAATATTTAATTCGGCTATAATACGAGTCAGAGACGGAACACGTATTTGACTATTTACGTTCCAAAATTTTTCATATTCTTTTGTACTAATTTTAAAAAGAAAAATCAATTAATAAATAAATATTTTATTTTTCGAAAAATTTATTCACTTACGTATCTTTTCCGAATGGAATAGATTGTTCATGTTGTATACCATTATTGAGTTGAATAATTTGTTTAGGTAAATGAAAAACAATAGTTGATTCTTGAGATTTATATAAACTACGAATGAATGTAAATTTAAATATTGAATATGTCGATTTTTCCGTGGCAAATGTACATGAATGTTCATTAGTTGTTTTATTATCAAAATTTGTTCGAAAAATTGTTCGTGGAAAATATAAAAATGATGAATTATAATAATTAATATTATTTTGTCGGAATGAAACATGTTTCCAATTTATTTTTACAATAAGATCTTCATATCTTAAATAAATAAATAGATTTTTAATAATTTAATTAATTCGAAAACAAAAATGTTTACTTAAAACGTGATAATGATTTTGTTTTTGTTTTATTCCACATAGACCAAATCCATTGTTCAACAATTTCATCAAGATTAATAATATAAGATTGATCTTGTTGTTGAATATTTTCAATATTTTGTTGAATTTTATTCTAAATTATAACAATGTTCTATTTCAATCAAACAAAATAATAAACTATACTTGATTGCCCATTGAATATTATCAATTGATATCTACAAGAATATTCAAAGATTTACTTTTACTTTCTTTTAACTGTACAAATAATACATACAGAAGAATAAAATGAAAATTGATATTGATTAAAGATTAAAAAAAAAAATAAATGTCACGATTAAAGTATGTAAAGGTTCATTCTGTTTCGAGGTTAACATTGATATGTAAACAGACTAATATAGATTTATAGTTATATCATTGATAAATATCATGATATAATATATGGTTCAGAATATAATGGTGGTGTTAGTAGTTTGTTAATCTCTCTTTTCACTTTTCATAGTTTTGAACTGAACATTTTCTTTTAAAAAAACTCAACATTCAATTTGTTATAAAATTATATACAAATGAATGTTATACAAGTAAAAATAACTCGTTTAATGAGCTAAGTAATATTGTGAACATACAACATGAATAACTTATAAAACACTTTTTTATTTTGATTGATTTTCGATTTTAACTAAAAAAATCTTTTTAATGAAAAGAATTTTGCCCTAAAAATATTTTTTGTCTGACAACAGGCATGTTTACAGAATTTTTGGCTGAAAGGGCGATCATTTTTTTCTATCCAGTTTTCATGAGACTCTTTGTTTGTGTACGATAGATAGGACAGAAATTATTTACATATATTCATCTTTATTCATAGTTAGTAAATATTCTGTACACTGAACAACAAAAAAAAGAATAAAACGTTTGATTATATTCATTATTTTTGATAAATATGTGTTGGAAAAATATTACTCTGATACTGTTATATATGAATCATAGAGTAGAAAAAAGTAGTTTTGATTATATGCATCATACGTATATTTGACATTAATTATAACGAACTCAGTATCAATACAATCACTACAATTCACACTGATTATTAGACACAGATGTCGGTACAAGCACAAACATTTCAAATTAATAGGGCAAATTTTTTTTAGAGAGAGAGAATCGATGCCCGTCTGCCCCCCCCCCCCCCCCCCCCCCCCCCCCCGCCCCCCTGGCGCGCGCCGGGAGCCACGCGTCCGGCAGCGTCACTGTGGTGCGGCACCTTGTGCTTACCTTTGTTA